CGCTATAAACCTGTAAAGGATCCCTGTAGCCGTGTCATTGTTATAGTAAGGAGTTAAAGAAGGCCTCCCTACTGTAATACTAGAAATCTTCATTTTTTTCTTAAATTTATATTATTTTAATTAAAAATTCTTTTTAAATTAATAAGTTTTAAACTTTTTTGTACTTTAACTTTTTTAAAAAATATTTTTTAAATTTTTTGTTCTTATTTATAAAGTAAAAGATATAAAAAAATAAAAATACTTATACCAAGGATGTGGGTCCCATAGCTTAGCAGTTAAGCTCCTATACTCTCTACAGTCAAGGTTAATAGTTCAAGTCTGGCTAAAGACAAAATTAAAATATTTTAGCTTCTGTAACCTACTAAAGAGCCTGTAATTGAATGTGAAGCTCTGTAGTTAAGTTCAAGTATAATACAATGATGGAAATAAAAATTCCTAGAAGGAGACCCAATCATAGAGTGCAGGCACTATGTGTAACAAGCAGTTGTTATAGAAGGTTACAGTTATAAAAAGATTGCATATGTAAGTTCTTTAGACTAGGGCAGCACCAACATCCTTATACCTTCTAATATAGGCAGTACCAACATCCCTGTACCCAAATTGTGGGATACTTGCTTGAAAGGATAATCAATGAATTCTGCAAATAAGTCTTAATTAGGACTCAAGAAGAGGATTTGATTGAAAGAGTATTCTAAAAGTAACTAAGACTGGAATGATAAGAGAAGCAGTGAACATGAAGATGGGCTATAATAAAGAATTGGTTTAACCAAAATTTGGAAGCACTTCTGGCATAGCTGAATAATCTAATTATAGAAGAAAAAATTATGAAGGTTGGCATATAACTTCCTTGTATAATGTAAAAGTACCAAATTGGGTTCCTAATTATATCTATATAGAAGTCTATAATGAACATAACTGGAATTAACCAACCAATATAAGATAAAATCTACAAGGTAATATGGCATCACTGGGGTTGGTGTAACTTCCTAGAGCATAACCAGAATTGTCCTGCAGGTATTATCGAATAAGCTAAAAGCTTGCAATATATAGTAGTATAATATTACTAGGATCAGAGAAATTCACTAGATATAACCAGAATTGTCTTGTTTGTAAGTATAACAAGTCTCAGTTCCCACTATAGAAGAGAGCACCATGTTGGAGGTTAAATGCAGCATTGAATTATTATATAATATTAAGACCTAGGTTATGTTATAGTTATATGACCTAGCCATCCAAGTTCGTGACCCAAGCCCAACTAAGCCCGTGACTCAAGATGACTCAAGCCCATGACCCAAGCCCGTAACACAAGCCCGACTCAAGCCCGTGACTCAAGATAACTCAAGCCTGTGACCCAAGCACAACTTAAGCCATGACCCAAGCTCAACTCAAGCTATGACCCAAGCTCAGATCCAAGTTAGTGACTCAAGCCCAAAACTCAGATCTGTTATGAACCCAAGACCTTATGCATATAATAAATGAGCAATTAAAATTAGTAATTAGTAATATCAATAAACAGTGCATTAAGTATATAGTTATAGTTCTGTAATACCTAGGTAGTCTATGAAAATGATTAGTAATTAGTAATAGGAAAAATTAGAATAAAAGAGAAGAAAAAAATGTACTTAGCTTTCTAGACTGTTTAATAAACAAATCTCTAGTATCTGGTGCTTAATATCTTGTTATTTAACGTTGCATTCTTGAATCTTGCATTGTGTTTCCACTATGACGTGTCTAGTGATCAATCTTGTGCTATGACAGTTTGAACAAACTAAAAGCTCTTAGATCCATATCTACCACAGATTACATATCTCAAATTTTGAAGCTCAAACAAATTAGTTATTAATAATACCTACTGTTAATAATATAAAAACAAAAACAAAAAAATAAAAAAAAATTGGAAGAACAACCAGATCTTAATGATATCCTTATTGCATTGCAACAGATCTAGCAAGAAAACTAACTTTTGAGACAAGAGAATATGAACGTTCGCAACGAACTTAATCAACTATTGCAAGAAGAGGCTTACAACCATTCAAGAAAGCCCAAAGTTAGTCTGCCTGACAAGTTCAATAGAACCCATTCCAAGTTTAGAGGGTTCCTAAACCAAATATGGCTTATTATCCATTTACAGCCTAGCCGTTATCCTAACAATAAAACACAGGTGAGGTTGCTTAGCAGTCTACTTGCAGGCCCAGCTCTGGCATGGTTTGCCCCACTCTTTGAAAAAAAGTCAGCACTGTTAAACGATTTCAATAGTTTCATCAGGGAGTTCAAAACTACCTTTGGTGACTCAAACAAGGTCAGAATGGCAGCAAACAGAATCAGAAAACTCACCTAGAGATCTAAATCAGCTTCAAGCTATGCTTTAAAGTTCTGTCAAACCTCTAGCAATCTAGATTGAGGTGAGGCAGCATTAATTAACCAATTCTGAACTGGGCTGAGAAACAATGTGAAAGACTCTACATCATTGAATGATGTGATTTCTAAGGTGGTACATTGTGATAACAGATTATTTGAATGACGTCGTGAATGACAAGACCACACTGTAGGTCGAAGTGATCCAGTACCAAACTATAGTAGGCCTAGTCTATTCTCAGAGCCAATGCAGATCGATTCAACAAGAACACGAACTCTTTCTGAAGAAGAAAAGCAAAGATGATAGGCAATTACCTTTGCCTATACTGTGGTGAACCCGATCATATTGCTAAAAATTGTCCAAGAAAAAGCATCACCAAGCATAGGATTGTTGCGGTGGAAACAAATTTGGAAAGTTCGGAAAAAGAGGAGTCCCAACTGTAGTAAGAGGTTTGCAGTTAGATAGAATTTATAACAAAAATCCCAAAAATTTGACTCCCACACTCTAATAGACACTCTTGTTATAACAGTCTCTATACAGCTCCTAGACAAATCCATGTTCTTTGTTAACACATTAATAGACTCTGATGCTTCAGCGTGCTTCCTTAATTATATGTTAGCACATCAATACAACTTACCTACTAGAAGAAAAAAGACACTACTATCGGTAGAAGTGATAGATGGCCAAGAAATATCGTCGGAGGCAGTCATTTATGAAACTAAGCCATTGATGATAAGGTATCAGGACCATTGTGAGGAAATCACATTCAACCTGATCCAAACACCGCACTATCAAGCTATTCTAGAATTAATATGGTTGGCTCATCACAATCCTAACATTAATTGGTGTGAACATATACTAAAATTTCCAGATGCAGTTTGTATTCTTCACATTTAGCACTCATCTCCAGCACTAATAACAACCCACATCAGTATGTTAGAAAGAGTTTTCTTGGCTCAAATCTTCCATATAGTGTCTGTAAACGAGAGATCTAAAATAGCCACCTCGATACTCCCAACAAAATACAATAACTTCAATGATGTATTCGATGAGAAGAAGGCAAATAGGTTGCCAGAACATAGGCCATATGACTGTGCAATAGACCTAGTACCTGGAAAACAACCTCTATGGGGGCCTATATACAAACTTTCAGAGTTAAAGCTGAAAATATTAAGGAAGTATATAGAAGAGAATTTGAATAAAAAATATATCAGGCACTTCAGATCTCCCACTAGGGTCCCTATATTGTTTGTCAAGAAAAAGGATGGTTTCCTAAGGCTATGTGTAGACTATCATGAGTTAAACCAAGCTACTATAAAAAATCAATATCCACTCCCTCTTATTTCAGAGTTGCTACACAATCTATCCTTAGCCAGAATCTTCACCAAAATAGACCTAAGGGGCACTTATAATTTAGTTAGGATTAAACTGAGGATGAATGGAAAACCATATTTCGAACCTGTTATGGTCTTTTCAAATATCTAGTAATGTCCTTTGGGCTTACCAACACTCTAGCAGTCTTTCAACATCTGATGAATGATGTGTTCAGAGATTAATTGGATAGATTCATTATTGTATATCTGGATGACATTCTAGTATACTCAACAAACCTCGAAGAGCATATCCACTATATGAAACTAGTATTGGAACAACTCCATCAATTTTGCCTATATGCAAAGCTGAAGAAGTACGAGTTTGATAAAGATTGCATTGAGTTTCTAGGGTATACTATTAGGTTTAGGGGAATAGAAATGAATAAAAGAAAGGTAAAAAACCTGCTTGCGTGGCCCGTACCTACAACACTTAGAGAAATACAGCAGTTTTTAGGGTTTGCAAACTACTACTGTCATTTCATAAACAACTACTCTTAAATGGTCACACCCCTCACAAATCTAACTTAGAAGTCAAGCAAGAGCTTCAAATGGACCAACAAAGCACAATTAGTGTTTGAGAGGTTGAAGAAGGCTTTCACATCAGCCCCAATCCTTATACACACAGATCTCACAAACCATTTTTTTTTGGAAACTGATGTGTCGGAATATGCATTAGGGGCCATACTGTCTTAACCCCAAGAGGATGGCCATTTATACCCAGTCACATATTACTTCCAGAAGTTTTTCTCCACAGAACTAAACTATAATGTTCATGACAAGGAGCTTCTAGCTATCATAATGGCATTGAAACAATGGTGGCATTATCTAGAAAGGGCCCAACACAAAATTACTATCTACTGTGATCATAAAAACCTTCAATATTTTAACACTGCCTGGCTTCTCAACTGCTATCAGGCCTGTTGGTCATTATACTTGTCCAACTATAACTTTAAGATTATGTTTTGTCCCGGGAAAGATCAAGGCAAATCAGATGCACAGTCCTGAAGACCTAACTATAAGCCTTTTCATGAAGAACCTATTTTTCACCAAACGATACTACTAGGGAAAGAGAGATTACACATAAATGCTGTCTCAACAGCACTATTGGATTATGCATTTCAGCAACATGTTAAATCCCAATTAAAGACAAACCCTCTTGCCTTGGACATAATTAGCCATTTGAACGATGACATCACCTGCAATGGCTCCCGATCTGACTACCACAAGTTTGCACAGGAAAATGATCTACTATATAGAGATGAACTGTTATACATACCTGGTATAGCAGAGAAACTTGAGATATTACAGGCTTGGCATGACTCTAAGCTAGCTAGGCATTTTGGAATAACCAAAACTATCGAACTAGTAACCAAAGATTATTGGTGACCCAATCTTCAGTCTTTTGTATGAAACTACATTAAAGCATGTGACACATGTGCTAGATCAAAAGTGCCAAGACATCATCATTATAGATGCTGATGCCCTTGTCCATTCTGTCATACCAATGGCAATTCATATTCATGGATTTCATAACTGATTTACCTATATCCTCTGGTTTTGACTCTATTTTAGTGGTAGTGGATCACTTAACAAAAATGGCTCATTTCATCACCTGCTATAAGAACATTACTGCTGAACAAACTGCCCAATTAGTAATACGAGATGTAGTCTGTCTATATGGGATACCTGAAGAAATTGTATCTGACAGAAGTTCACAATTCGCTTCCCAGTTCTGGAAACACCTCTTTGACCTTTTGGAAGCAAAAATCAATTTATCATCAGCATACCACCCACAGACTGATGGACAGAGCGAGAGGGTTAACCAAGTACTGAAACAATATCTTAGGTGCATCATCAATTAGCATCAGGATGATTGGGCTGATCTTCTACCCTTAGCCAAATTTTTATACAACAACTCTAAGCACTCATCGACAAAAACTACCCTATTTCTAGCCAATTACGAATTTTGCCTACAATTTGATATTCAAGCGCCTTCATGACTAACTGTACTATCCGCCAAGGATAAGACAGCTCAATTACTACAAATTAAGAAAGAACTCATGCAGGAATTGAGGACTGCACAAAAACGATATAAATGAAATGCCAATCAACAATGGCAAGAGCCATCTGTGTTTAAGATTAATGACCAAGTTTGGTTAATAAGAAGAAACATCTGTATACAATGCCTATCAGAGAAATTGAATTATCAAAAATTAGGGCCTTATAAAATCATAACCCAAATTAACTCTGTAATGTATTGTCTAGACTTGCCTCCTTCGCTCAAAATCTATAACATGTTTCATGTATCTCTTTTGGAGCCATATGTAGCCAATGACATCCCCAGTAGACACAAGAAGCCCCCTCCAGTAATAGTAGACAGTGAGATAGAATATGAGGTCGAAAAAATACTTGACTCTAAACTAATTCAGAAGAAACTACATTACCTAATTGAATGGAAGAACTGTAACCAAAGCGAATGTTCATGGGAACCTGTCAAAAACATTGTGCATGCCGAAGAAGCCATAAAAAGTTTTCACCAGTTATACTCCTACAAGCCAAAGAAGAGAACAACTACACCGAAACCAAAGCAGAGGAGGAGAAGACGAAGCATTAAAGAGGGGATAATGTTACAATTACACAGCCCAGCCACCCAAGTCCGTGACCCAAGCCCAACTCAAGCCTATGACTCAAGACGACTCAAGCCCATGACCCAAGCCTGTAACCCAAGCCTGACTTAAGTCTGTGACTCAAGATGACTCAAGCTCATGACCCAAAACCGACTCAAGCTGTGATCCAAGCCTGACTCAAGTCATGACCCAGCCCAAGATCCAAGTCAGTGACTCAAGCCTGAAACTCAGATCTGTTATGAACTCAAGACCTTATGCGTATAATAAATGAGTGATTAAATTTAGTAATTAGTAATATTAATAAACAGTATATTAAGTATGTAGTCATAGTTCCATAATATCTAGGTAGTCCTACGAAAATGATTAGTAATTAGTAATAGGAAAAATTAGAATAAAAGAGAAGAGAAAAATGTACTTAGCTCTCTAGTCTGTTCAATAAACAAATCTCCAGTATCTAGTGCTTAATATCTTGTTATTTAATGTTGCATTTTTGAATCTTGCATTGTGTTTCCACTACAATGTGCCTAGTGATCGATCTTGTGTCATAACAGATTATCTGCAAAAATGGCAGCAGCAGATCTGGCTTGAGATACAAATTGGTCAAAAGACCAATGGCAGCAGCAGAGCTGACTTGAGATACAGGTTCAGTGCAGATTCTGAACTATTGTCAGAACATCTTAGAGAAATAAATAACAGGCATATTAAAAATGGAAAGATAATAAAAATCAAATATACCTGAGTAGGACCAATTTGAAAGTAGTACTGTGACAAAAAGGTGAGAAATGTAGAGAACAAGATAATACTAGATATAGTTAATTAAGAGGTAGAAGAAACAAGACCAGGTAAAACATATAAGTAGAACATATAGGTATGATTTACAGAAGATAGTACCTTTGGCATTTGGAATATTATATTAAGTTCAGTAGATATCTTTGTTTGTATAGCAGTTTAATGATATATTCTGACTGCAAGTAGTTATTAAGATAACTGCATGCAGGCATATGGCAGACATGCACTTAGGTGCCATAAGAGTAACTAAGTAAAGTCAATGATATAAAATTAGATAGTATATAGTACTAGTAATAATCGATCCTAAAATGTAATTGCAAATTTGTATTATATCAAATTAAAGCTAATAAACCAACTGGCATTGTTGCAAATGTTCAAAAAAAAAAAAAACCTATATCTCATGCAGGCATTTTTTTTCCAATATAACATCTCTTACTGCTAATAATATGCTATAATGCTAATATAAAAAACAAATATATAGTTTTATCTAACAACTATAAGCATCATATAATAAATTGTCTTTAATAATTAGTGATTATTATTTAATTAACTCAATAAAAAATTCTATAAAAAAAAACAAAAAATGCCAAATATTAAATAAATATGCCAACTAATTTGCATCAGATTACTATTTTTGTATCTAAAATTTTTTTTTTAATATTGTTATTTATTGCAACTACAACATTGCTTACATTTTCATTTTTTTGTATTCAAATTATACTTTGTAATTGCATATCTAAATGCATATATAATAAATTCATATGTGAAAAATAATATATAATGAATTAATATATGAAAAATAACCAAAATTTAATAAATAAATTATGCAGACCAATCAAACTTAAGTTTTAACTGTAGTTGTTTCATATAAACTATCTACTTTATAATTTTATTACTTTGTTTTTAATAGAAAATAATAATATATATTGAGCAATATAAGTTAATAGATAAGAAAAAGTTTGTAAGATTTAATTCTTAATATAATAATATTATTTATTGTTATAATATTGGTAAAATAAAGATTAGATTGTTAAGAATTCTTTACTCAGATATATTAAAGTAAAGCATATATATTACTATTAACAATTTTTTTAAGTTTAACTTTTTT